GGGTGTCACATAGGTGGAAGGTCTGTAGAACAAAGTCTTCATTTCCCCAGGCCACAGTAGTAAACCCTGGAATATTTCTTCACTTGTCTTACCCCTATCCAGGTGATTGTGTACATGTCGTGGTTCTCTATAATCCAGGGCAGAGAATTCACCCTAAGTGGCGTAAAGTTCCTAACTTTTATGGACATCCTCTCCCATCCCAGTATCCCTGCACATAGAGACACAGACACACAGATTGACAGAAAGGAGAATGTATCAAGTCAGTACATGCTGAAAAGAACTGTACCAGAAACTGGTCCCAATATCAGATTTCCCTATTTGGGGTCACTGAGTTTTCCCAATTTCCTCACAGTCCTTTTCTCTCAGGGGTCACCTAAGACCTGACACTTTCATTGTAATCCATCCCTCTCCATCTTGCCTACAGAGGTACATAGCCTCAGGGTCATAAATGGGGCAGGTTTGGGGTCACAGAAGGAATCGAGGGAGGAGGAAAAGCAGAAATAGTCCCTGATATCTTCAACCCCACTTTGTTGTAGTATGCTTAAGGGAAATACTTGCCTAAGCAATTCCATTTGAATTACTTCTCAAAAGGAGATTGAGGTAGATGAAGCAAATCAAGGCTGAATTTCGTTTATCTTGAAGTATTTCCTGTTGAGCTGGATAATCCAGTGAAGCATGTTTGTTACCAAACACAAACACGGGTCCATTTACCTGCTGCACAGTAGGGCCAATAAAGAAAAAGACTGAAACACCAGGCTTGTGGCAAAGAAAGTAGTTTACTCTCGAAACACAGCCAGAACTCAGAACCATCTCCTTGAAGGGACAAAGGTAGGTGTTTTTATGGGGGTTTTTAGCTAGGGGAGGGGGAGCATGTGCTGAGGTTCTAGGTAGTAGAGGGAGACCATATGGCCTTCTGCTTGGTGTCTCCCAACCAGCCTGCATTTGCCCTTGAAGAATGAATTGCTTTTTCCCTGACTGTCTGGACTTTTCCGCTTAGTTTTCGTCTTCAGCCTGCTTTTGGCCTTGAAGACTGAATCTTCATGTCTGGGCCTTGACTTTCTGGGAAAGACAGCTCATGCCTGTACTAAGGAGGGACAGAAAGATCTGGTTAGTTTTAAACAACAGTTGATTATGCTGATCGTGCACAGCTTCAGTTAGCAAAGCTGATCTCAAATATTTTGTTCTCTTCTTCTAGCCCAGGGAAGATTTTGCAACTTCTTTGTCCTCAGTTTCAATCCCCACTGTGTTATGATCATTCCTCAGTCTTGGGGAATGGGGGTGAAGACCGCTTTATGTATTTCCTGCTGTGAAAGGGTGAAGATCTGGATCAAGGGAATGAAATTGTTTTACCTTTATCTTAAAATATTTTGGGGTACCAGGTGGGGAGAGTAAGATATGCTTTGCATGACTAATATTTTAGTACTCTCTCAATGACTTTGGAATAATACTTAAGTTCACATTTTATAATTCCATAGATGACCACAGAGATTAGCAAAATAGAAAGCCCAAATTTTAGTATCCCCTCTCCATAATGGACCTCAATCCTTGGGGAATGTAGCCAAAGAGGCCTGTAAACCAATCAAGGTTAGTGCCTAGAACCTCAGGCGACAAGTAGCCTACTGTGTAATAGTCAAACAGGTAAGGTAAGAACCTGAGAGCCATTCCTTCCTTATGTTTAGAAGACCATCTTCTGTATAGCAACTTGTGTTCTGTCAGGGGATCATTTGTCCGTTGAGAAAAGTCAGTATCCAGATTATGAAGTCATCCAAAGTTTGGGTGATCCTGATGTGGGGTCTGTGAGCCGAGGAGTTGAAAGAAAGATTTCTTGGACTCTCAAGGTCTGGCAGTAGTGCTCTTTTATTTGGAGAATAGTATGGAATAGCATGGGGACAGGACTCGTGGGCAGTAAAGAGCTGCTGCCATGGGGACACAACCCATAGGCAGTGAAGAGCTGCTGCAAACATGGGTTGAGAGTAGGGCTAAATTTAAGGCATAGGTATGTGAGCTATCTCTACAAGATAAAGGAAAGAATATGTAAAAAAAGTCGTTAAAATGGTATCAGTGCAGGTGGGGGTCTGGTTATTGGGTGGTCTTATAACTTTTAGATAAGAATCAAACCAGGTTAAGTAAATGGCAGAAGCCACAACCTTAAATATTGTCTTCAGCTAAAGACAAAGGAGGATGTTGGTGGTGGGGAGGGTCAGTTACATGAGGTTACAAGACAGTAAACAACTTAAGTCCTTGCCTTCCCTATTAAGGGTTTCTAAAGATAAGGTCATCCCCCCTTCCTCCTGGTGCAGAGAAGGAGATGCCTCCACAGTTGGAGACTTCCTTCACAAATGCAAATGTCTCTCATCAAAGGGCAAGCAAATTCCACTCCTCAGAGCCTCCTTCCCGTCTGCAGTTTTTAAAAGTAACCAGCCTAAAATAATCCTCATCAATCCCAGTTGTGATGTTTTCCTATGGTATGGTTCATGTTCCCTGTGGCATTCCTTGTATGGTCCCATCCAGCAGGGACAGAATCAGTAGCTCAAAATAACTAATAATAACATAGATATTGTTTTCGCTGAGGAAGATTGGCCCTGATAATATGTGTTGCCAATCTTCCTCTTTTTGCTTGAGTAAGGTTCACCCTGAGCTAAAATCTTGCCCAATCTTCCCCTGTTTTATATGTGAATTACTCCCAGAGCATAGCCGCTGACAAGTGCCATAGGTCCTCACCTGGCAACCGAACCAATGTTACCAAAGTGGAGCATGTCAAACTTTACCGCTAGGCCACAGAGCCAGGCCTCTAATATTGTTTAAAAATTAAGATTAAGATGATAAAACCAGTCAAAGAACAAAACAGCAAGCCAAAAATCAACCCGTTACTCTCTGTGTCACTAAGGTGAACATCCCAGGAAAACTCTTGTTGGTTCCATTTTAAATTTAAGTCTTTAGTCTATTTTGAGTTCATTTTTGTGAGTGGTGTGAGGTAGGGGTCCAATTTCAGTCTCCTATAAATGCTTATCCAGTTTTCCCAACACAATTTACTAAAGACACCATCATTTCCCTTTGAGTATTCTTGGTCCCCGTGTCCAATATCAGGTCACCATAGATAAGTGGGTTTATTTCTGGATGCTCTATTGTGTTCCATTGTTCTATGTATCTGTTGTTAAGCAAGTAGCTTGCTGTTTTGATTACTACAACGTTGTTATATAGTTTGAAACCACGAAGTGTGATGCCTCTAGCCTTGCTCTACTTTCTCAGGAATGCTTTGGCTATTTGGGATCTGTTTTGGCTCCATACCAATTTTAGGATTGCTTTTTCTATTTCTGTGAAAAATTTCATTAGATTTTGATAGAGATTGCATTGACTCTATAGGTGGTATTGGGTGATATGGACATTTCAACAATATAAATTCTTCTGCTCCATGAACACAGAATATCTTTCCATTTGTTTGTGTCTTCTTAAATTTCTTTTTCAAAGTCTTGTAGTTTTCGGTGTACAGATCTTTCACCTCCTTGATTGGATGTATTCCTCTGTATATGCTATTGTAAATGGAATTGTTTCCTTTATTTCTTTTTCAGATGTTGTGTTATAGGCAAATAGAAACACTACTGTTTTCTGTGTGTTGGTTTTCTATCCTGCCACTTTACTGAATTGGTTAAGTAGTTTGATCAGTTTTTCAGTGGAATCTTTAGGATTTTCTCTATATAAGTTTATATCATCTCCAAACGCAGACAAGTTTACGTCTTTCTTTCCTCTTTGGATGCTTTTTATTTATTTTTCTTGCCTGATTGCTCTGGCTAGGATTTCGAGGACTGTGCTGAATAGGAGTGGTGAGAGTGGGCATCCTTTGCTTGTTCCTGATCTTAGAGGAAAAGCTTTCAACTTTCCACCATGGAGTATCTTGAAAGGGATACACTATTAATTTTCAATTCTTTCCCCTTTATGTTTTATTTTTCTCCCCATGACAGTTTCTTAGAAAATTAAGATAATCATTTTTTTTAACTGACAGCTCTCATTATTAATCCACCAGTTCAAATATGTGGGATACATTTTGGTATCTAAGTAATATCAAGGAAAGAATTTTAAATTAGGTTACTGTTTAAATATTTTTAATATTTTTATAAGTATTCCATTTGTCTTTGTGTTCTGTGTTTGGAGTCTGTGGTTTTCTTGTTTCACCTTTTTCTGTCTCCTTGAGGGTTTTGATCAAATCCGGAGGCAGAGGTTGGCCAATTACATCCCTTAATTTTCACAAACTCCCCAGTGGCCACATCAGATATTTCCTGCTCTATCCAGAGTGGCATAGCCCAGGACAATGGTAGATTCCAACAGAATTGGAGGAAAGGGACATAAAGTAGCCAGAGTCATTCTGATGGCAACAAGGACTTGGGAGATGGAGGTCACACTCTCCCAAGGAGCCAAAACAAATTTCTGCAATTTGGGTGCTTTTGGTAATGTCTTTCCAAAGTTCCCCTGTTGGAGCATGAATCGGCTGATGTCATCAGATGATCTTTTGCCCTATATGGCATGTTTCAAACATGATCTGCTGAAGATCACAGGTAGTTTAGAGATCGCAAGAGTCCTACTCTGGCCAGTGGATGTGATGCCAAGCAGGAGGATGACCAGTCACATGTTAAAAGGCCCGGCTTAGCACATTGCATTTTAGCCAATCAGATATAGAGTTTGCAGGTGATGTCAGACTGGCAGCGCCATGAATGCACTGCCACCCCGCAGCAACTGCCATTGTTCTTCCTTCAAAACTGCCTTATTGCTGCCTCTGACGTGGCTGAGCCTGTCGCTGAGCCTTCCTCTGAGGAAAGCCTGAGCTCCATGGAGCCCACGGAAGCTGACCAGAACAGGTTCACAAGGGCCTGAGCCTGTCTCAGGAGGCCGTGAGTGTCCTGGATTCGTTCGTGATGGACATCTTCGAGCGCATCGCCAATGAGGCCACGTAACTGATCCACGCCAACAAGCGCTCCACCATCTCGTGCAGAGAGATCCAGACCGCCATGCGCCTGTTGCTGCCGGGGGACCTTGGCAAGCACACCGTGGCCGAGGGCACCAAGGCCCTCATCAGATACATCAGCCACCGCTGAGCTGCCTCAGGAGCACCTGAGCATCGCACCAAAGGCTCTTTTCAGAACCACCTCACTTGGCGGGAAAAGAGCTGTGGCCATCACAATGACTCTGGCCACTTTGGGTCCCTTCCCTCCAACCCTGTGGGAATCTCCTGTTGTCCTGGGCTATGCCACTCTGGATAGAGCAGGAAATATCTGACATGGGCAGCAGGGTTTTCATGGAAATTAAGGGATGCAATTAGCCAACTTCTGCCTCTGGATTTGATCAGAACCCTCAGGGAGACAGAAAAAGGTGAAATAAGACAACTGCAGTCTCCAAACACAGAACACAGACACAAATGGAATACTTAGAAAAATACTTAAACAGTCACCAATTTTAAAATTCTTTTCTTGCCATTACTTAGGTCCCAAAATGTATCCCACATACTTGGATTGGTGGATTAATAGCAGAACTGTTGGTTAAAAAAAATGATTAATTCTCTAAGAAACTATCATGGGGAGAAAAACAAAACATAAAGGGGAAAGACTTGACAATTAATAGCCTATCCCTTTTCAAGATGCTCAGTGGTGAAAGGTTGAAAGCTTTTCCTCTAAGATCAGGAATGAGAAAAGGATGCCCACTCTCACCACTCCTATTCAGCGTAGTACTAGAAATCCTAGCCAGAGCAATCAGGCAGGAAAAAGAAATAAAAGGCATCCAAAGAGGAAAGAAAGAAGTTCACTTGTCTCTGGAGATCATATGATCTTCTATAGAGAAAATCCTAAAGATTCCACCAAAAAACTGTTTGAACTACTCAATCAATTCAGTAAAGTGGCAGGGTACAATACCGACAAACAGAAGACAGCTGTGCTTCTATCTGCCTACAACATAACATCTGAAAAGAAATAAAGGAAACAATCCCACTTACAAAAGCATACAGTGAGGAATACACCTGACCAAGGAGGGGAAAGATCTGTACACTGAAAACTATGAGACTTTGAAGAAAGAAATTAAAGAAGACACAAACAAATGGAAAGATATCCTGTGTTCATGGAGCGGAAGAATTTATATTGTTAAAATGTCCATATCACCCAACGCCATCTGTAGATTCAATGCAATCCCTATCAAAATCCAATGGAATTTTTCACAGAAAGAGAAAAAGCAATCCTAAAATAGGTATGGAGCCACAAAAGACCCCAAATAGCAAGAGCAATCCTGAGAATGTAGAGCAAAGCTGGAGGCATCACACTTCCTCGTTTCAAACTACATGACAAAGTTATTGCAGTCAAAACAGCAACGTACTGACCTAACAAGACACATCTAGAACAAAGGAACAGAATAGAGCGTCCGGAAATAAACCCACTTATCAATGGGCACCTAGTATTGGACAAGGAGCCAAGGATACTCAAAGGGAAATATGGTCTGTTCAGTAAATGGTGCTGGGAAAACTGCACAACCATCTATACAAGAATGAAATTAGAACCTTACCTTATACCACTCACAATAATGAACTCAAAAGAGACTAAAAACTTAAATTTAAAACGGAACCAGAAAGAGTCTTCCTGGGCTGTTCACCTTAGTGGCACAGAGAGTAACGGGTTGGTTTCTGGCCTGCTGTTTTTTCCTTTGATTGGTTTTATGCTGTTAATCATAATTACTTAAGAATATTAGGGGGCTGGTCCAGAGACCTAGTGGCTAAATTGGCCATGCTACACTTAAGGTAACACGGGTTTCATTCCCAGGTGTGGACTTACACCACTCATTGATGGCCATGCTGTGGCAGCAACCCACATGCAAAATAAAGCTAGATCGGGAAAAATACTAGCTCAGGATGAATCTTAATCAAGCCAAAAGAGGAAGATTGGCAACACATGTTAGCTCAGGGCCACTTTCCCCAGCAAAAAAAAAAAAAAAGAAAAGAAAAGAAAAAAGAAAAAAGAAAAAGAAGAGGAGTATATAATTTATCTAGGGCTGCTGGTTCTGTTAAGTGTCTTTGAGATTTTTGTTTTCTATCTGTAAACTGCAGTGGATCCTGAATTCTTCTAGTTTCCTTAAACATCTGGTACAGAACTCCAGATTAACGTTTTCAATTTTTTTCTGTCCTTTTCATTTGGGATCATTGAAAACTAAAACCACCCTTTTTCCTGAAGGCCTGCAAACTGAAGCTGGACAACTTGGTATAAACGTAAGAGGGAGCACCACGATACTCCATGTTTGGACAATCTTCACACCACTTGCTCCCTAACCCACTCAATAGCTTTGCCTGAATGCCTGGTGACATCATCGGAGAAGTTTTAAACTGCAGGGGGTGCTTCAACCCTGACCTCTAGAGATCCTCTTGGCTGACCATCCCTTGTTCACAGAAATTGATTTACAGTTTGCTCCAATCAATAACCTTGTTTTTCTTCTCGTGTCTCTAGAAATGCTTCTTATTAAATATCTAGTTACCTGCTTCCACGATATAGGCCTAACTTTGGAAGAGCCTTCCTGTGTTCTAAAGATGAGCCAAAAGACCTGGAGGGAACTCAAATCAAGGAGCGAAATGTCGTCAGATGTTTCTCTGCACCATCTTTGTCCTAGAGACTGGGTCCTGTTGAAATCCTGGACTTCATCCCTGCTGGATGGGACCATACAAGAAATGCCACAGGAAACAGGAGCCAGGCCATATTAAAACATCACAACTGGGATCACCCCAACTTTGGATGACTTCATAATCTGGATGCTGACTTTTCTCAATGGACAAATGAACCCCTGACAGACCACAAGTTGCTATACAGAAGATGGTCTCCTAAAGAAATGGAAGGAATGACTCCCAGGTTCTTACCTTACCTGTTGGACTACTGGACAGCAGGCTACTTGGCTACATCACATGTCACCTGAGTTTCTGGGCACGAACCTTGATTGGTTTACAGGCCTCTTTGCCTAGATTCCCCAAGGATTGAGGTCCATTATGCAGAGGGGATACTAAAATTTGGGCTTTCTATTTTGCTAATCTCTGTGGCCATTTATGTAATTATAAAATGTGAACTTCAGTGTTGTTCCAAAGTCATTGATCAGAGTACTAAAATATTAGTCATGCAAAGCACATCTCACTCTCCCGACCTGCTACCCCAAAATATTTTAAGATAAAGGTTAGAGAGTCTCATTCCACTGATCCTGATCTTCACACTTTCACAGGAGGAAGCAGCCAGAGAGGTCTTCCCCTCCATTCCTCAAGACTGGGGAATAATTATGAGACAGTGGGGATCGAAACTGAGGATGAAGATGTTAAAAAATCTTCTCTGGGCTAGAAGAAGAGAAGAAAAACTATGAGATAAGCTTTCCTAACTGCAGCTGTGTGTATTCAGCATAAGCAACTGTTGTTTAAAACTAACCAGGTCTTTCTGTCCCTCCTTAGTATAGGAGTGAGCTGTCTTTCCCTGAATGTCAAGGTGCAGACATCAAGATTTAGTCTTCGCGGCCAAAGGCAGGCTGAAGATGAAAACTAACCAGAAAAGTCCAGAGAGTTAAGTGAAAAGAAATTCAGGCTTCAAGGCCAAAGGCAGGCTGAAGATGAAACCTAACCAGAAAAGTCCAGTAAGTCAAGGGAAAAGCAATTCAGTCTTCAAGGGCAGATGCAGGCTGGTGGGAAGGCACCAATTAGCAAGGTTACAAGCTCCCCTTCCCCTACCTAAAACCCCACGTAAAACCCTCTACCTCTTTCCATTCGAGGAGATGGATCTGAGTTCTAACTCGCTTCTCCTCATATGGCTGCCTTTCGATAGTAAACCTCTTTCCTTGCCAGAAGCCTGGCGTTTCAGATTTTTTCCTTGTTGGCCCTACTGTGTGGTGGGTAAACGATCCCGTGTTTGTGTGCAGCAACAACCATGCTTCTCTGGATTAAATAGCTGAAAAGGAAATACTTTAGGAATCGCTTAGGCAAGTGTTTCTCTTAAGCATACAGCAGGGTGGTATTGCAGATATCAGGGACTGTTTCTGCTTTTCCTCCTCCTTCGATTCCCTCTGTGACCCCAAACCTGCCTCACTTATGACTCTGAGGCTATGTACCTTTGTAGGCAAGGTGGAGAGGGATGGATTACAATGAAAGTGTCAGGTCTTAGGGGACCCCTGAAAGGAAAGGACTGTGAGGAAATTGGGAAAACTCAGTGGTCCCAAATAGGGAACTCTGGAATTGGGACCAGTTTCTGGTACAGTTCTTTTCAGCATGTACGGGCTTGATACATTCTCCTTTCTGCCAACCCTATGTCTATATCTATAGTCCTCTATGTCCATGGATACAGGGATGGGAGAGGATGTCCACTAAAGTTAGGAACGTCGCGCCACTTAAGGTGAACTTTCTGGCCTGGATTATAGGGGAACATTACATGTGCGAGATCACCCAGGCAGGGGGAAGTCAAGTGAAGAAGTATTCCAGAGTTTTCTACTGTGGCTCAGGGAAACAAGGACTTGGTTGTATGGACCTATCATGTACGTGACACCCAGCAGCATCTCAAAGCGGATGTGTTGTGTGGCACTGTTTGTTAGACTCTTGAAGGCTGCTCACTCCTGGACACTTCTTGCATTGAAAAGGCATCTCAGATTTCCCCTGTTCTTGACTCTCTGTGGGCCTGTAATTGCTTTGACCAAAGGAGGATGGAGGAAGTGATGTTATACCCATTACGGAGATAATCTTTAAGAGGACACATAGCTTCTGCCTTGCTGTTTCAAGGATCTGAGCTGCCAAGTAAAGGATCTGCCTATCCAGCTGGACACCCACGTGGATAGGCCCCTCCATGGCAGCGGTATGTGACTGTGAGGTGTCCCTCAAATTGAAGAGTCCTTTAGACATCAGCTGAACACCCTTTGGTGACTCCAGCCTGGTTTATATTTTTAGGGCTCCCTTATACTTCTGATTTGGACAACAAATGGGGTAGAAAATGTAAAAATCTTCCATTCAGACCATGAAAAATAACTTGACAAAATCATTATCTACGTGATTTTAAATGCTCAGCTTCGTGTGAAAAGTGATGGAAGTTACAGTTCACTGAGACCTTTCATAACTGTAGATGCTTGAATGACTGGACCCTTAATGAAAAACTGGAGTTTTCCTAGAGAGAAAGGAAGATGGCAAAGAAAATTCTATTCCACGTCCTTGATTTCGGATGGTGGAAAGTGTCCTTGAGAGTTTGTAATCACAAGAGTGTCCTCATGTAGCTTTGGGGTTCATATACACTGTCATCATGGTCCAAATCATTCCCTGTGGTAAAACTTCTTCAGCGGTTTTCTCATCATCATATATTTTCTAGTAATAAAAAGTAGCTTTTTTCACTTGAGGATTGGAATCACTTTAATACGAGTAGAATTAGCTGTTTGTTGAAAGTCTCACAGGACATACTCTTGTAAGCCTGACCTATGGGATCCTAGCTCATTGAAGACCTCCATTTCTTCAATTCTTCTTAAGCCCTTTTGGTTCGAGTCCTGTAATTTATTTTTATAGAGATTCGTTAAAGAAATGCCTCTGCCTATATTATAATAGAGCTTTTTTATTAAGATTGCATTTTTCCTTTTTCTCCCAAAGCCCCCCGGTACATAGCTGCATATTTTTAAAGATTTTATTTTTTTTTTCCTTTTTCTCCCCAAAGCCCCCCGGTACATAGTTGTGTATTCTTCGTTGTGGGTCCTTCTAGTTGTGGCATGTAGGATGCCACCTCAGCATGGCTTGATGAGCAGTGCCGTGTCCGTGCCCAGGATTCGAACTGGCGAGACCCTGGGCCGCCAAAGTGGAGCATGTGAACTTAACCACCTGGAAACGGGGCGGGCCCCCAACATAATACACTTTTGAAAGGAATATAGTTTTCATTTTGAAATACTTCCCTCTTATTGATTCTTTTTCTCTCACTCTGGTAGTTTCTCAGAGAATTAGAGTAATCTTTTCTTCAGCTAATAGCTCTTATATTTACTCATGAATTCAAGTATGTGAGGTATCTGGGCGACTCAAGTAATGGGAAGAAAAGAATTTTAAATTTGGTAAATAGTAACTATTTCTAGTATTTCTATAAGGCTCCCCATTTTACTTCATGTTCTATCTTTGCAGAAAGTGGTTTGGCCATCCTCCGTCTTTCCTTGATGCACTGAGGGTTTTGATTAGAACTGGAGGCAGTCGTTGGTCAAGCGTGTCCCATGATTTCCAGGAGCACTCTGCTGGTCATGTCTGACAGTTCCTGGTCAAGCCACAGCGGCTCAGCCCTGGAAAGAGTAGATTCTGGGTTGAAGGAAACTGGCCCCAAAGTGGCCGGACTCGCTCTGATGTGGCATGGACTTGGGTTGGGGAGGTCAGGCTCTTAAGGCACGGAAACTGAAATCGCTAGCATTTGAGTGTTTCTGGTGAAGTCTTTTCAAAGATCTCATACCGTAGGCATCAATCAGCAGTTGTTGTCAGTTGACCTTTTGCTCGATGCGGCATGTTGCAGAAATTCTCTGCTGGAGGTCACAGGAAGTTCAGAGGTCTGATTGGTGGACGTGATGCCAAGCAGGAGGGCATGCAATCACCTGACAAGGCGTGGCTTGGAGATAGGCCTCCCTGGGTTGCATTTTATCCAATCAGGTAGGGAGCTTGCCGGTGACTGCAGATAGGCCGCGCTATAAATGGGCCGCCAGCCCTCAGCAGTCGCCATCGTCCTTCCTTCAAAAGACCGCCTCTGGCATGGCTGAGCCCGGCTCTGAGGCTTCCTCTGAGGAAAGCCTGGGCACCACGGAGCCCACGGAAGGCGCCCCGAAGAGCCCGAAGCAGAAGCAGCCAAGGTGCCGCCGCCGCCGCCGCCGCCACTGCCTCGACAGTTTCGCCACCTATTTCCCCAGGGTTCTGAGGCAGGTTCACGAGGGCCTGAGCCTGTCTCAGGAGGCCGTGAGCGTCCTGGATTCGTTCGCGAAGGACATCTTCGAGCGCATCGCCGACGAGGCCACGTGCCTGGTCCGCTCCACCAAGCGCTCCACCATCTCGTACGGAGAGATCCAGACCGCCGTGCGCCTGCTGCTGCCGGGGGACCTTGGCAAGCACGCCGTGGCCGAGGGCACCAAGGCCCTCATCAGATACATCAGCCGCCGCTGAGCTGCCTCAGGAGCGCCGGAGCATCGCAACCCAAAGGCTCTTTTCAGAGCCACCTCACTTGGCGGGAAAAGAGCTGTCGCCCGAAAAGGAGGGGTCTACTCTAGTTTGTTGATCTTGTGGCATTTGGCCGATACGTAGAGTATTTTTACCGCAAAGAAAACATTATCAACTCTACTGTCTACGTTTCTGAGTACAGTTTATTCCATGGAGAATCGTGGATTTTCCTTAACCCTGTTGCGTTTCATGACTTTCCTAATGGGTCATTTCTCTAGGTCAGCTTTAATGGGGGGAATTTCTGTTATACTAATATTTTCTTTTTTCACTGCCATTGCTTCACGAGTATATGGTGGAATTCCCCAGAAGTTCATTATGTGTGGTATGGCAACAGATAAAGTGCAGAAGCAGATATGAGAATCCCTCTGACATCTGTTAGGCCAGATTATGAAGCAGATGTTCAATTATCTGAAACAATGTCAATCTCCTCTCTACTTTTGGATAAAATATTTATCATGTAAATTTGTAATTTATGTTAACATGAGGCAGTGTGTTTATTATGACGATTTTAAGTTATTCTAAAATCAATGTATTGAGGCTTCTGTTCTAAGATTTGCACGGTAAGTATGGGCAGAATGTAGCATGCATAAAAGTTCTTTGGGGTCCTTGTAATTTTTAGAAGTGTATAGTTGCCCTGAGACCAAAAACGGTTCTAGATATTTACTCACTTGTGCTGCAATCAGATCAACTGAAAATAGCCTCTTTTTCAGTGGTTAAGTCTTTTAAAAAATTCAAAGCCTAATGTTCATTCATTAAACTTTCAAATCCTAAGGCTGAGAGAAAGCTTTCTCGACACCTTCCTGACTCTAATCGGAATGACAGTGGCATTTCATCAGCAAACACGATATTGGGCTTTCATTTGAGGGCTATGTGTTCCCAATAGCATCTTTGGTTTTCCAAGCATTTTCGGTGACATAGTAGGTATCAAGCATTCACAGGTGCCATGTTAGCAACTTTTGAGATTAACATGCTTTTTAATTTTTGGCTTATTCATATAAATCATATTGATAGATTTTCCAATATTAAATCGTGCTAGCGTTCTTGGAAGGAAATCCGTTCCTCCTAGGTGGCTTTTCCTGGACATCATTTAGGTCCTTTCCTCTGCTTACTCGTGTGCACGGTCGCCAACAGGTTAGAGCTCCGATTTCTCACGACTTCCTGGCCACTTGCTTCCTTCAACAGTCCCCAAAGCCCGACTGTGTCCTAGTGCCTTCAATTTTCCAGAAGCAGCCCGGACCCAAGGCTCAGCTGGGTTCACTCTGCAGCAGGAACCTGGACTGTGGTAGAAGGCAAACCAGGGGCTTGGGGAGTGACCGTGACACTTGAGTTACTCTTTCCTTCACCTCTTTCTGTGTGAGTCTCCAACTTTCCAGGCTCCTCATGTTTGAGGCACAGCTGTGCCCGCCCCCAACTAGGGCAAGTTCTGCCTTCCAGGCATTCCTCTACCCTTCTTCTTTGAGCAGTGCCATCCAAAGTGCTGGATTCTACTCGGAAGTTTCTTTCTTTCTTTCTTTCTTTCTTCCTTCCTTCCTTTATTCCGTTCGTTCTTTCTTTCTATCTATCTTTCTTTTCTTTCTTTCTTTCTTCTTTCTTTCTTTCCGTCTTTCTGTCTCTCTTTCTCTCTCTCTTTCTTTCTTTTTTTCTTTCCTAGGAATATTAGCCCTGAACTAACATCCACCACCAATCCTCCTCTTTTCGCTGAGGAAGGCTAGCCCTGAGCTAACATCCGTGCCCATCTTCCTCTACTTTATAGGTGGGACCCCTACCACAGCAGAGCTTGTCGAGCGGTGCCATGGCCGCACCTGGGATCCGAGCTGGCGAACCCGGGCCGCCGATGCTGAACGTGCGCACTTCACCGCTGTGCCACTGGGCCAGCCCCAAATTCTTAGTTTCTTTATTCTTATTCCCTTCTCCAGGAGAGGCTGGCTACTCCTCCCCGAAGGTCAGGCCCCCTCCTCACTCAGGGGAGCTGCAGATCATGGCCCAGCAGGTATGTCAGGGTTGCAAAAGACCTGATGTGTGAGGCTTCCTTGTCTCTGCTCTTTGTTGATAGAGTGACCATATAATTTCTTGTCCAATTAATGTGGACACTTTTGACCTAAAAGGGGCACTACGAATAACTGTGCTAGGACAACAGGGAAAATCAGGATGCGTGGACACCCTTGTAGGGAAAAGATCTGGGGGATAGAATAAGGACATCCCTTGGGGTTTGGGGATTTGCAGAGCACAAAGGTTAGTGGGAAAATGAGAGGGCATCACCTTTTTTGTGGTTTATTCTCCTTGAAGTTCTGGTGCCTTTGTTTTGTGGAGACAAGTAGCATTGCCAGGCTGCATTAACAGGGAAAAGAGCCGCGACATGGTGAGAGTGTCAGTTAGGGTCCCATAGGTGCTGTGCGCTAGTGGGACTAAGCTCTACAGCAAGAGTGATTAAGGGCACTGGTTTTGGGGTTGGATGAGACTCCCGGGTTCAAACCCCAGCGGTGCCTCTTAGTAGCTGGGGTGCCTTGGATAAGTGACTTGACCTCTCTGAACCTCCTCTGTAGAATAGGGTCTACAAGACTGTTGTGAGGACTCAGTGAGATGACGCAGACAGAGTGCCCAACGAATGGTGGCTATACTTATTCTTGGTCCTGAGATTCAGGCCCTCAGGCAATTGGAGGCGTGGGGGTGAGATTTGGTGCCAGGCAGCTGTATGGACACCCTCTCCTGGCTACCTTGGCCCCATCTGTTTGCTTAGGGCTGACAGCGAGATAAGGGAGGATGACTTTTCCCTCCTGAGCCTCACGTTGGGGAAGTTGCTCAGATAACACTCGTCTGGGTTGTGATGGGACGTTGCTAGGGAGCAATTGGAAGGTGCCTTGTTAGCTCGCTGGTGTTGGGCATTGCCGACTCAGGGCTTTGTTGGCAAGCTGTTCCTCCCCCTACCCATGAAAGCTTGGAGCCCCTCACGCTCTTCCTCTCTGAACCTATTCACCTTTAAAGCCTTGGCTCAAATCCTACCTCCTCTGTGAAGATGACCTGACCCTTGCAGCCTAAATGACTTCTCTCTCCTGGAGCCTCGGGAACTTCAATTGTAAAATGGGCATATGATGTATGAACGCCCCTAAAGAAGGGCCGTGATTAGGACTGAATGAGAGAATGGATGTAGCATGCCAGATGCAGGGTCTGGTACTGGCCTACAGTGGGACCGGCCTCTTTCTCTTCCAACTCTCTGAACTCCCACGACACACGCATCGCGGTCCTGATCAGATGCAGCCTTCCATTGGTAGTCATTCTAGAGTATGGCTGTGCTAGCTCTCCATTCAAGTGTCCTGTCACAGAGGTTGGGGGCCATGTCTTATCCTTCCTCCCCTTCCAGTATCCAGCACTATACAAATCACCGTAATAACCATGCTTTTTTTGGAGCACTTTATGATTCTATGTGGCCGGCACTCTGCGGTGTATGTTATACCCATACGTGTAGACTTTACCCTTTGCCCCTGTATTTTCCTTCCAGCACAGGCAGGCATAATTCTCCCCGTTGAGGAGAGTGAGGTTCCGAGAGGTCGGGTTAACTACTAGCCAAGCTCACATAACTAGTAATGGCATAGGCAGGAATCAAATCCCGGTTTGACTCCTATGCTAGATTAAGTTTCCAGTGAACGCCTGGGACCGCACGAATGGGAGGATGGACAGAAGAAGAGATCAGAATAGGAGTGCCGGCACCCTTACCCCTTATTAGTAGAGGGAGGCTTGCTGGAGAAAAACCTATGCGTAATAAAGATACAGGATTCAGTGGGTCCCCAAGACTAGGTAAGGGCACACGGTACCTCTTGGACAGGAAAATAGAGGGAGGCCAAGCTAAACCCCAGGGCAATTGCCCCAGGGAATTCCACAGTGGCTCCAAGTTCTCAAAAGTTAGGAGTGGGGGACCCGCTCACTGACCGTTCTCAAGGTGAACTCTAGAGGAAGCCCGGGTCAAAGGAGCCTCCTTCGAAAGGGGTTCCTAACCTAGGAACTTTTGAATTCCCCTGGAGTCAAGGCTGGGCTTTTCCCTCCGGAAGCTCCTTGGAAAAAACCAGGAGAGAATAGCAAGCATGGGTTCTATGATTAGGCGTGGAGATGAACTCTGCTGCGCTCTTGCATCAGGGGCGGTGATGGAGAGAGAGCAGAGGGATTTGCTGTTTAATTCGGCAGACCGCAAAGCTCAAGTGGCTTCAGACTGACCTGGAAACCCATCGTTACGACCTTACAGGCAAGAAGGCTGGTAGTCCTAGGCGGGACACAGTGCCCAAACCTCACGCCCTGGGCTAGAGCACTTCAGGGTCTTGGGAGTGTGCTCAGCTAGGCTTTGCCTGGTCCCGGTAGAGCTAGGCCTCTTATGGGTGAGTGCTTCAGGGGTCTATGAGCTGTCTCTTTGGTTCCGCCAGACTTTCCAGGGGTCTCACTCCAGAGGGAAAAGCCCTTCTCTGGCAGAACTCCAGGGTTTTCAGCTCTACCCCTGCCCTGGCTCCCTGAGATTCAGATTTGGGAAGCCTTAGCGAGGGAGCAGGGCACATCCGAGCTCTCCCCCTGCCCCGACTGGCCTGCCAAGGCAGCATCCAATGGCACTCCCGGCTTCTACTCACAGGACCGCTCCCCGCTGACCTGTTCGGGCAGGCGGCGTGGTGCAAGGAACAAGAAGCTGGGCTCACGTGTCAGGTGGAGCTGAGGTCTAATCCCGGCTCACCTGCTTTCTGAACTGTGTGAGGCACGGGTATTGACTCAACTGTTTAGTCTATAGGCTTCTTTCTGCATTGGTGATATAATAGTGCTTGCCTCGTAGAGTATCAGAGATCCATGAAGAGGGCTTTCACGTGCCCCCACCCAACCTTGCAGAAGGGGGAAGAATCAGCTATCAGAAAAACAAGAGGACTGTCAAATCTGTGTGAAATCATCTTTGTGAACTGTACAGCATAACTCCGAGCATTACTTTTTGTTATTCTGTGTGAC